CTCGCATATAGGACGAGGTGTGACTTTAAAGATCAAAATAAAGGAAATCAGATTTATTAATACACTAATTCTAATTTTATTTTGTTTAATCAAAAGTAAAATATCAAGTTAACATAAATGAATACATTTTCCCACAAAAATTACTGGCATTTTAAACTTTAAGGAAAAATCTTGTAAAATCAACGACATAATTTGTTCATGTAAAGCCGGACAACCGGAAACCATTTTTGCCAATTCTTAACAGTTGAATGCACTCTCTGTTGATTACACTTATGAGTTCCTCCAAATTGTGATTTCCAATTAACCATCTGTTTTCACATGGGAATGAATTAAGACTTATATCAGGCTCCCGTGTGATTTCGCAATTTCAATCTGGAATTCAATTCTATTGCTATTCATCTTTACTCCTGACAATATACAAGAAATATTCAAACAACCCAGATAAAATACTTATGTTTTTTCTTACATAATNAAATCAGATTTATTAATACACTAATTCTAATTTTATTTTGTTTAATCAAAAGTAAAATATCAAGTTAACATAAATGAATACATTTTCCCACAAAAATTACTGGCATTTTAAACTTTAAGGAAAAATCTTGTAAAATCAACGACATAATTTCTTCATGTAAAGCCGGACAACCGGAAACCATTTTTGCCAATTCTTAACCGTTGAATGCACTCTCTGTTGATTACACTTATGAGTTTCTCCAAATTGTGATTTCCAATTAACCATCTGTTTTCACATGGGAATGAATTAAGACTTATATCAGGCTCCCGTGTGATTTCGCAATTTCAATCCGGAATTCAATTCTATTGCTATTCATCTTTACTCCTGACAATATACAAGAAATATTCAAACAACCCAGATAAAATACTTATGTTTTTTCTTACATAATGTGATGAAGCCAACACTAAAACCAATCATGGCAGATGCTACGTCAGTTGTTACGGACACAATATTTTGAAGAGACAGCTTAATTTCTTTAATGCAGTTTTTAATAACCTTAGTATATATCCTTTCCACATGTATTTATCTTGTAGTGGCAAAACTGAGAGTATATCTTCTTTTACTGAGCGATCATTAATTAAAGACCATCCTTATAAAAATATTTTTGTAAGGATTTATTTGAGCAATATCACAGATGTCTGTTGATTCATCACATTGTAAACTTAAAAAAATGCAGTTTTCTAAACCTTTTTTTCTTTGTAATTTGATATTTTCAGACATTGCTTCATTCTATGAGTGACTGAATTTGATATATCTGTTCTGCTGATATGGTTTTGGATGATATTAATTGTAATTTCTCTAGAAATGCCTATTATTTCATTAATCTTTTGCAAACTATGGTAGTTTTCCTACAAGGTCTTTATCTGTGAAAAAACTTTCACAAATACAATAAATTAGCAGAACTTGATATTGTACCTCTACAAGGTCACTTTTCCTATTGATAGAGGAGCTTCTGGCTGTACTTTATATAATCTTACATAAAGATCTGGAAACTTTAAGAAACATTGTGTGTCTTGACTAGGGATTGTATACCGGTTTACTGATTTACCGGTTAACCGATAAATTGACAAAAAATCATTCGGTAAACTTACCGGTAAATTTTTGAAATTTACCGGTAATTCGGTAAATGAAAAATCCATACTAGAAATTTCTATATAGAAAATATTGTGTTTATAGATATTTAAATGGGCTAAAGGGACGTTGAAAAAAAAAAAACAGGTAAATGTAAGCAACAATATACCTCATTATTAATTTTATGTGAGATAGTTTTTGTTTAATTTTAATTTAATGCCCATTCGTCCGACAAGCGTTAAATCAGAAAGGGTATTCTCGGGATCTAGATTATTTTGTACAAAAATTAGATCAAAATTAGGAGATAAGACTATAAATAATTTAAGTTTCTTGAGAAGTTAATTTTAAAAAATGGTAATCAATAAAATGGTATTAGGTACTATATATTATTTCTGTTGTATTTTTATTTTTCTGTATTATTTTATTTCTGTTTATTTTTATATTTATTATTATAGTTTGTTTAGAATAACACTTTAATTTTTATATTTTTTATATTTGATATCTTTGAAATAAAAATGTGAAATGGAAATCATAATGACTTATATTTTTTATTACCTTAATTTTATTTTTCAAGAAAAAAATTTACCGGTAATTTACCGGTAAACCGGTATTTTAATTTTCATTTACCGAATTACCGGTAAATGAAAAAGTCGGTAAATTTACAATCCCTAGTCTTGATTACTCCACTTTTTAGCTGCATCATTTCCACTTTGGTCATATAGCCATGTTTTATCAACTTTAAATGCTAAATGGTGTCCTGTAATATGAAGATAGTGTAGAATATAATAATATTCTACAATTTATTTTCAAGTTAAAAACATTTCATTCTAAAGACATAATATTCAGAAACATTGATATTTATATATTTATTGTATGCTCTTATATGCATAAAAATACAACAAGAGTATAAGAGCAGTAAGAGATAAGTGTAAGTAAATGCTTTTATAAGAGTATTGACCAGACAAAATTGGAACTATATTCCACAAACTAAAAATCTTTTATCATATAAAAAGCAATTTTTTATTTTGGCTTTTTATTTTTAATAATGGTTATCATAGAGATGCCACTATTTCAGTATGTTTACATTTAATTTAGACTTACACAGCAGTTCAGTGCTCTTATAAGCCAAAACATGCCAGCACAAACAAGTGTGTGTTCTTATAAGTGAAACAAGACAAGTGTTTCAAAAATGAGTAAACAAGTAATTTTCATACATAAGAACATGCTCTTATTTGTAAAAAAATATGGTAATTCTAGAATTACTTTTCATATCATTTGTACTTGGTTTCTATAAAGTATCAAACTTTTTTTACAGTTCATCCAGATCAGTTACTATAGAAGTATATTCTATAATTTTGTTCAGTATAAAATAAAGTGTGTGAAAATTCTTCCACAAAACTAATATCAAAATTTGAAATCTTTTTACTAAAATAAGCAATTAAGATATATAAGCAAATATAGATCTTTAAAAGTTTAGAAATTTGTATAACTTTAATAAAAATTATTAATTAGTTAGTATCAATATTCTCTATCATAAAGTTTTCAAAAAATTACAACTTTATCTTTGTTTAATTTTCCTTTATCTCTAGGATGGACAAACAGCCAGTATCCTCTAAACAATATTATTTTAGATCTACTTCTGTTAGTTTTCATTAATAAAGTTTATCTATAGTTTTGAGCAAATTATAGCATAATAATATTTTTTAAAAGCCAAATTAGATTACAATAATAACTTTTTTCACTAATGGTTATTCATAAATCAGTATATTAAATTTTAAAATAACAAATTTAGCTCTAGTTTTTATGTAATTTATCTACTTTTAGTAATGAATTTAAATAAATTACATATTAAATTAAGTAAAAAAAGAATATATTATAAAAGACATTATATTAAAACAATTTCATTATTTCATTTAAACAACTAAAAAAGATTAATAATCATTATATTCATTTACTGAAAAACCTGGAATCATATTTATCACATTAATTTTATATATAGTATCATTTCAAATGATGATGAATTGAAATATCAATGAATCTGTGAATGAAATACTTTACATTATTATAATTTTATAATCATTATGAATGCTCATAATGTAAATGTAAAATCAATTTTATGACTTTAAATCATCTGTATGTTTAATGTTTTGAGTATTTGTCTAAACTTTAATCTACATAATAAATGATTGCATTGTATTTATGACTAATTATTTTAACACTTAAAAAAATGTTTGTTTTGAAATAATTTTTATACTATATATAAATACCATATAACTATTTACAAAAATAGAATTGTATACTCTAATGTACACTCAAAAATGCATTGAATAATGATATTAAGATTGCTATACTGGGATAATAAACTTCAAAAGAAAATTACATGTTTAAATTTAAACAACTTTTTAAAATAATATACAATTTTATATAATTTCCTGATCAATAACCAACTATTTTTATGTTAATTATTAAATTAATTTGAATAATTATACATCTTAATATTTATTTTTTATATTTATAAGTGGCCTAATAAACCCAATCAAAGCAATCAATATATCATCATCCATTCAATTAAGTAAATGAAATTCATATTATTTAGTTATGAATGGATGGAAATGATAAACAGACCATGGAACTCAATATATTAACTTATTAAACTGTTATATCTAACACTAATGACTTATATTTAAAAATACCAGTTGCCCCTCCCAGCACCAATTAAGAAGTATAATCCTACAAAACATAGGGTCACCTGTGAAAAAGGGACTCCAGGTAATCATTGCTAGGACTGTAAAACAACTGTAGCATCTTCGGTACACCAAGATCAAAGTAAAATCTGTGGTTACGAGCTAGACATAGCAGGAAAGTTAGAGATCAATGTCAATAAAGAAATAACATACACTCAAGTGCTGGGGATTAAATGTCATTTTTTGCCAATAATTATGCCTTTAACATATCTATACCATGGAATACAGTCTATATAAAAAGTACATTCTATACAATAGGAATTGTTATTTTAAAATTAGTCAACATAAATTAACTGATTTATATTTTAACTTTTGTACCATTAAGAACTTATCAATTATTTGCAGGAAAATCAATTCATTTAAATGAATTGAAGTAATTTAGAAAAAGAATTTATCCCAACATTATCAAATTCCTGCAATCTTCTATTAACCAATTAAATCTAATACCTGGTACAAAGGTTCCTAAGTGAAGTGGAACAAAATGCTCAGCAATATCACTCACCTGAAAGGAATAGATATTGATGATGGAAGAAAATTTTATATCAAGATTTTCCCACTTACCTGAATATCTTATAGACACAAATTAGATGTCACTAATCTGATTCACCTTCTGATCCATCTTTAGAAGTCCTATTTACATAATTTTCACCTTTGCTTGTCTTCTCTTTGTAATCTGCATCAGATAACTCAGGACTATTTTCTCCATTTTCTATTTAAAAATAAAAAAATCAATCAAATTTATAATTCACTACTTTATAACAAAATTCTATCTGGAATTACCTGGACTCTCTCTATTTCTTCCTTCGTGCTTTCTTTTATCATGATCTCTACTACTACCTTTTCTTCTGTCACTGCTAATTTCTGGAGATCTACTTCTAGACTGTCGTCGATATTTTGAATCACGTGATCGAGTGTGATTGTCACGTCGTCTTTGATCAGGACTTCTTGATCTAGATCTATATTTATATCTGAAATTTTTTTATTTCTTTATTATATGTCTCTTAACAATTTTCAAATAATTCTTTTTAATTTAAGCAAACTTTTAAAGCAGTTCTTTTTATTACAAATGCACATTCATTTGTTGAACATGCAATATTGAATTTACAAATATGTAATGTAATATAATGAAGAAACTATCTTTACAATGAAACATTCAATTTCACATATTTATATTTTCATATATATGGTAAAAGTTCAATTCATGTTCTCTGAATTTAAGTTTCCCCAAAGACTCTTACAAATAGGGTGGATGCAGAAAGTCACAAACAAAGAACTTTATGATAGGGTATATATGAAAAAGAATCTCTTACAAAAAATTATACAATGAAAACTTCAATTGTTTGGGCACATCACAACAATGAATGAGAACAGAAAAATTAAGACTAGTCTATGGTATTATGGATGGATCCAACAAAAGAGGCAGACTATATAGAAAATGGATTGATGACGTGAAGAAGTAATGTGGAGCGAATGTACAGGAATTGAGAAAATTGGCAATGGATAGAGAGAAATGGAAGAAATTAGTGGAAAAGGCATCAGAGACTAACGGGCAATAAGCCCAGGGTTAATGATGATGATGATGAAAATTTATGCTATAAATTTATATTCTCTACTGAAAGATCATAATATTAATGTTAAAATTTCCCTGAATTTGTTTCTTTATTTTTGCATTTTCTGCAATTTTACTTTAAATTTTGAAGTTGCATGACAAAAACTCCTTTGATATTATGTGCATTTCAACTTGTGACATTTCAGACTAATAAGTATTATGATTAGTTCAGTGAAATTAATCAATAAAATGAATGTTGAAAGCACGCAAGCAAGCCACGTCTATTATTTTTGTTTAAACACTTGAAGGAAAAGTAAATGCATTGTTGTTTAGCTTTATATTTATTTTAAACATGTCCTCAGGTGAGAAGAAAATGTTTTCTATAAAGTGTTTTCTATAGAAAAAAAAAAAAATGCAAATATTAGTCCAAGCTGATGCTCATAAGAGACTTTGAAAGGAATTAGTGGCAATGCTTGGTTTGTTGGTAATAACATTAAACATGGGAATAGTCTGAAATAGAGGAAGGTTACTTACAATGTGGTCTATCAATTTCTAAATAATGCAAATCTCTGAAGACTATTGGAAGAACTTAAAACCAACCTTTTGGGGTGGTTAAAGAAGCATTCCATTGATGGATCTTACTTGTATAAAGAGGAGGCTTTACATCAATACCTAAAAAAATGCAGCCATTGTTTAGATATTGATGTTATCAAATTTCAAACAGAATTATTTTACACAAGACTTAATCTGGTAAATAAGACTATACCAGAAGAAAGTGCAAATGTAAAAACTGATGAACTGGAAAAATGAAAAACTACCCAAAATAACTAGTGGATGTAAATCAAAGGACATTTGGCAGGATGGCTAAGATATCACCTACTGTCCTGCCCAAATTGAATCTAGGCAGTTGAAAAAAATCCATCCTGAATATGATGAGCCCTGTTTATCATCATCTAGCTGCCCCTTTAAGGACCTGACAAGATCAATAATGTGTGTGGAAACACTCTCTTACAAGAAGTACCCAACAGTTTACCATCACCAATTTCAATGAAATTTTGTGGAAGTGTAGTATTTACTTGTACTTAAACTCTACAAAAGCCACAGAACCCACTATTCAGGCATTCTCAAGAAAATTAAGATAACAGTTTTCTACAATTCACAAAGTACATTGTGGTGTGTTTAGTTAAGATGTTGCATGCAAAGGCTTTGTTTTTGGGTTCAATCCCCTTATGCAGTTTTTTTTTATATTTATAATTTAATATTAAAAATTATACATGAGAAATTAAAAAATGCTAAGGTGATTGAAAATATGTTTTTTATTTTAATCATTCCATTTTTAGAAAGTACATATAAAAACATTATAAGCAAATTTTATATTATTTAATGTAATGCAAGTTTTTATAAACTTCTGAATTGAAATATTACAGCCACACATAAAATTGACATGTTAAAATATGCATGGTTTTGATACAGCACTAAAAATTGTTATATATACATGAAAAATAAAGGTATCTGATACTACTTATTTCAAAGCATCTGTACTGTTATTTTTGCAGAATGATTGACATGCCAGTGACTAAAATATAAAATTAATCAATCTAACAAAACTAGCTGTTAATTAAACGTTAAAGAAAACATTCTTCCAAGTACAATAAAATAATAACATTGTAATTTGACTGACTTAAAATCAAGAAGAAAGTTTTTGTTTAAAAGAAGACAATAAAACAATTAATGACTTATTAATGAATTAATTGGAGTAAGCTGAGATAATTTACAACCAGTTTCTTAAATTTAATATGTTTATTTTTGCATTTTTGAATTGAATAACAATAAAATAACATTAAAAAAAAACACTTTTGGAATTCCACAAGTATCTTACATTAGAAAGAAGACAAAATGAAGAAATTAAACATGTAATTGTAGTTTTTGATGTAATGCTGATAGTTTCAGAATAAAAACTTGTTTGTTTTTACCTGATGTAACTCTTGTTTTTTAATGTGCCCTCTAGAGAAGGGTGTATAACCTCACTTAAACTGACATCCCAGTTTTTGTTATGTGGAAATATCTGATTTCGTGGTCTCCCCAGATAGACTGACATGCTGGTAAATCCACAAAAATACAGTATTATTTTTTTAACTTGTAAAGAAACTTTATTAAATTTTAATATATCAATTGACATTGAATTTCTTCTTGCAACAAAATACAGTATTTTATTCCTATCACTGTCCTTAAAACTACCATTGCAGGTGAAACAATAAATTCCTCACCAATTAAATGTTCAAAACAGGTGCACAGATAGATGAATCATCATTTACATTTCCTTTTGATACAAAAAGTTGTTTATTTATTGGTTTTAAGTACTGTATCCTCATTTGTGAGTTTCTGTGAATTGGAAATTTTTATACAAAAGTTACTTTATTTTGCTTTTAAGAGAATTTTTACTATTAATATACTAAAAATAAATACAACTTTTTACGAAGAACAAAAAGTTGTATTTATTTTTAGTATATTAATATTAAATAATTGTTGGCCATGTAAACTTATTTTTTACTTAGAATTTTTACTGTTTGTAATTTTATAAGTTTCGATGTTCTATTATATGTTCAATATTTATTTTTTGAATTTTGAAAAATTAATGAAAAATATAAATTACATGAATTTTTAATAAGCAATTTATTATGAAATATAGAGATTTATATGAAATATAACAAAATCGCAACTGATATTTGTTTTTATATGGATGGTATTTGTCTTTCAACATCATTATTAAAGAAACAATAATGATAAATGAGCATTCAAAGGTATAGATGCTTACATAATCATTATTTAGTATGATATAACCAATATAACCCCACGAATAAAATTCAGTATTGCAAAACTAAGCTCATTTTTATATCAGAAACACTTGCTGATGAAAGAATAAAGAATAGAGATTTCATAGCATATATAATCTGTTTAATATAAACTCAGAATTTTTTGTACTTGATTATATTGTACTTCTGGATATATTGTGCTTTTTCTTTGTCTCCCAATAAATGTGATATAATGAGGGGCTACTGTATATACTAAAAGCAACTCCAACTGCACATTGTCATTTAAAACATATTTGTATTTATTTTTTGTATTTAAATAATCTCCAAAGTTTTGACTAAATAACACATACCTCAGAAAAACCTTTAACCGATGCGAAATAAAATTTAACAGTACAAACGTTTTCAGACCCCTCCTGGGTCCTTCTTCAGGTAAAAATATTTTTCGTATTTTGTAAATTTTCAAACGATTTTTACCTGAAGAAGAACCCAGAAGGGGTCTGAAAACGTTTGTACTGTTAAATTTTATTTCGCATCGGTTAAAGGTTTTTCTGAGGTATGTGTTATTTAGTTAAATCTGATGTGCAGGTGATAATTATTATCTCCAAAGTTTTGATTTCTTCATCTCAATTATTTATAATTTTCTAAAATTAAACTAAAATACATTTTGCAAACATAAAAAATAAAGTTCTAGGATTTCCTTTTTGTAACTTGCTTTTAAAATCAATAAATCCACAAACCCAATTTTTAAGAAATACCAAATGATCTGCTGCATTATTGCACTAATAATTATTTACATCAAATTATTAATGGCAGATTGTTTGACATTGCTTTTAAAATCTTTAAGTAAAAAAATAATTCAATAACAATGAAAATTTCACACCAAACTTCCATTACCTTTCTTTCATTTTTTCTCTTTCTCTATAATATCCTCTTCTATTATAATAAGATCTATCTCTACTTCTGCTTCTATGTTTTCTACTTCGACTTCGACTTCTAGATCTCCGTCTTTCTCTACTTCTACTTCTTGAGCGTCTACTTCGTCTCATGTCACGTTTTCGATCATCCAATCTACTATGATAGTTTTGTCTGTGTTTCTCTTCTTCCTGTTGTTGCTTTCGACGTTCTTCTCGCTCTCTTTCTCTTTCTTTCTCTCTTTCTTCTCTATTCTTCTCTCTCTTATGCTAAAAATGAATTTTTTTCATATTATTTATATTAAAATTTTATGGCATAATTCAACTTTTATTAATAAACTTACAACAATTTCTTCAACTGCTGATTTTAATCTTGCATAACCAACATGCTGTTTTCCCATTAAATGATCATCAACTCGTTGCTGTGCATCACCAACTATCAAAAAGGCACCACAAACTTCACAAACTTCCATCTGTTTCTCTTGAGCAACTGCAATTTCTGCTGTTTGCTAAGTGGATAAGAACTTTATATTAAATTCATTAAAATGGTTAATTATTCTTAATTATGAATTTTGATTTTTTTAAATATATATATATATATATATATATGAAATCATTTTCAAATGAATCCACAAAATCCACCAACAGGTAGATTTATATTTGGATATCACATTCAATAAAATTCAAGGTCTAGCACAACAATACTTTAAGATTTAATTTAATCTAACTATATAAGATTACATGTCCTGACTGACTGACTGACTGGGTGATACATCATCGCCCAGAAAAAACCACTGAACCTAAAGGGGTGAAATTTGGTACACAGTTAGGGTACGTCATGAAAATGCACACTAAGAAGAGATTTTTTTAAATTCCTCTGCAGAGGAAGAGGATTAAGGCTTAACCTGAAGAGCGGCTTCTACTGTACTATTTTAGATGCAATTTTTTGTTTTTATAGTAACAACTAATGATTGAGAATCTTAGTGAAGTACTGAGGGAGGGTTATTTTCATCAAATTGTAAATTCTGCATGGGTGAAGCCACTGGTAACAGCTAGTCTGTCATAAAAATATAAAAAACCTCAAAAATTTATTTAACAAAACATTAAATAAAATTATTATTATTATTTTCACCTCTATATTATTAGATGCAAAACTGCAGAACTAAAAAGTGACATTAAATTATTAAAAACAAAAATTTTCATTCACTTAATGTTAAAAGTATTCAAGACCGGAGTATATTATAAAGTGAATATGATTAGTAATTAATAATTTACTTTTTATTTTTATAAATGTATTTGTTTGTTTGTTATATTAATAACATTATGAGTTAAATATTATAAATCTATTAAAACAAGAATTAACTCAATACAGCTGAATTTTCTATAGAATTTTTAGTTTGTATATCTAGTTATAAAGGGATGCAAAACAAAATGACAAAATGATGATCATGCAATAAGATAAAGGAAACTAACTTGAAAGAAAAATTAACTTACTTATTTCAGCAATAAATGATATAAACAATAATAAGTGAATAAATGCAATATATGTTTTTTAGAAATGAATTTATTACATACAAGGTTTATTCTGTTTTAAAATACTTTTATCAATGAATAGGTATATATTTTCTTAACATAGAATTTGATTGTTAACAATTAATCATAATATTCCTACTTATTATCATTACTAAGTAAAACTAAACATGTATAATATCATTACAAATTTAAGATTGATTTAAATAAATAAATAATTTTAGGATTATACATAATATTAACCATAAAATTTCAGAATTTAATTTTAAAATTATATAAATCTGTAAATATACAATGTAAATGGGGTTGGTTTCTATCTATTACAAAATTTAAAATACGAAAGTAAAATACAGGTAGCCCTTGGTTTACAGCACAGTTCTGTTCCTACAAAAGCCAGAGCAAATGGAATCGGTGTAAAATGAACCCATATTTACACCGAGGTATGGGGTTAAGTTCTACGTAAGTGAAAAATATGCAAATAATTTTGTTTATTAACACAATATATTACAAAATACAAATAAATTTAATTTTTAAAATGTATTTTATCATATTTTATCATAAAATAAAGTAAAATGTTTTTATTAAAAAATTTTAGTTTCGGACCTCTTACATTTTTTTGAAAAAGTATCCATCTTTAATTGTTTACATTTTTGTTTTCTTTCATTGAAAATTTCGGAATATGGTCAAATGGATGCGATGATGCTCCTTTTTACATTTGCACTTCACTCCCAATCATTGTCTAACTCACACAGCCGATTGCAGAGAGAACGTTTAGAGGCCAATGGCAGTTTACAGATCGGGTAGACTGCTGTTCAGAAAAATTTAATTGCAGAGACTGCGTTTCTCGCCTGCCACAATGTAGACAGTGATTAGAAACAAGTTATTTGACTTATTTTCTACACTCACTCGACAGCAGGTTTAGAGGGCTTTTCAATTCGAGTGGTAGCTTTGTTCGTGGAAAAGTTTAGATAAAAACAGATATCGTTCCTTTGAAAAATGCTGTAAATGGTATGAATCAACAAAATTATTCATTAATTAATTGCTTGGAGCAAAAAAAAACAAAATTAAATACTTTAAATTTCTTTTAAATGTTCCAATTTCAATATTCAAATGGGTGAAGACTTAAAACTTCAATTAATTTAAATCAGATGCATTTACAATTTGAGTATCATGTCAGTTATAAAACGTTAATGCATTTCGGAGTCACTGTACTGTTAAACAAACGAGACAATTTTAATAATTACAGAAATCTGTTTATAGATAAATTACCCAACTTCACTACTTGTAACTGGTGTTCTTCTTCTCCAAAGCAGAGGTTACAGGCAGTGAAGTTGGGTAATTTATCTACTCCGGTGTTAATATTTCTTTCCTGTTTATAGATATAAAAAAATGTAATATTAATAATAAAATATTTAAAGTTATTCATTTTCATAATTATGAAGGGCGACAGTAATAAGATGTCAAAATAATTCCTTAAAAATCTATTCCAAAGACGAATTTCGAATTTGGTATAAATTTTCTAAATATAGATTTGTTCATATTTTAAACTGTATTAGCGACGAAATTAAATATCGAAATGGAAAAGGATTGTCATTAATTGCCGAACAATGATTTTGACAGCCTTAAGATTTTATTTCTGGAAGCTTTTGGAATATAGCTGGTGACCATTTCTGACATCACAACCGGCCGAACGACTCCTAAAATGGGAGTAATAGCAAAGTAAGTAAGAGCCACTGTTTTGCTGAAGTTCATTTAGAGAACAGTCAGAAATAGACGATCGTTGTCTTTGCAATGCATTTTAACCGTGGTTCAGCCAGCCGTTTATAGGCCGTTCTGTTGATAAACATCGTTTAACGTAAACTCTGTCTCTGCAATTGGCAGACAAAGTTTATCCATCAAACTTTCCATGGTTGAAAAGATACGTTAACCCAACATAAAGCTACAGACAAGCGGATAAACTGATTGATCGACCACCGGTCGCCGTAGCGTATATATAATGTCAGTTTCAGTGGGAAAATTCAAGGTGGCTAAGGAGAGATAGATATCGTCTGACTGACAAGAAATAGTTATCATCTGGCCAACGAGAAGTAGATTTGTCTCACTAACGATAGTTTGTGATCGCTGAAAGTGCTACTGTGTCATAAGGTGTTTTCCTGAACGAACTGATACGGGATATATTCATTGGCACTATGGATTCAGACGCCATTTATTGGACTATTAAGTTCAATAATTTGACTTGTGGGTACCTAAATGTTTAGTATTTTAATATTAATTTAATGCAAATGTATACATACCCAATAATATTAAACAGAAAAAATAAATATATTCAATAAAAATCTTTGTTTTAATGAATGTACAATGTCGCGGCTTGGTAAATACATCAACACTGAAATGAAAATCAGTCTAGCATAGGGAAAATCAGGGAATTACACAGCGAAACAGTGAATTGCACAGCGGTATTATTGTAAATCGGCATAAATTGAGCCGGCATAAACCGAGGGCTACCTGTATACATCAAAATATAACATTTTCTTTCTAAAATTAATTATCATCAAATTTAGGAATATCAAGTCAATATTCCAAATTTTCTTCTATGAAGTGAATTATTATAATTTTAAGTGCACTTGTAAATCTTTCTTTTAAAAAAAGTTATATAATTGCTTTGAAAAATTACCTTTCTCAATACACAAAAATGGCCTCTAAATAATGATGATTTTATAATTATGAAAGTGATTAATTTTTCTTTTTTAACTTAAACTTTACAAAAATTTCATTATTTATTTAAATTGTTATACAGTAGCGCATCGATTATCCGACCCTCGATTAACCGTCACCTCTGTTAACCGACCGCGTTCTAGTCCACAAATTCAAATGTCCGCTAGTGATGTGGCGCTACAATATTTGGCTATGTCTTGGCTACTTTAATATTATTTTTACACTTTTTAGCTGGCAACACTGATCAACCATGAAAGGGAGCCATTATTTAAACAAGGCTTAATTTTCTAATTTTTAACGATACAATAGCAACGATTATTATTTTTTAAAAAAATTTGATAGGCTTAACATGGAGGAAAATTCAACGCAAAGTAGGTTAATAGCGATATACTAATATACTAATTACATGGGATATAATAATATACTACACTAATAATGGATTTTTTCATACTTTTCGGTTATCCGACTTTTCAATCATCCGACCAACCCCAGTCGAGTCAGATAATCGATGCTCTACTGTACTTTGCTTAACCTTTTCTGAAAGTTAAGATAATTACATTATACCATTAATAGTAAATTAAAATATATAATACAATGATATTAAAATATAAAATTTAAAGAACATTAAAAGCAGTAATTCTGTTGAATTATGAGAGAGAAAAAATATTTAAGTTTTAAAAAAACACTAAGATACATTAGCACAATGTTAAAATTGAAGGCAAAACCATCAGTTACGAGGTTTTATTTTAAAAAATTTTATATTAATTATTATAAAATGACAAAAGGCTTAATTTTTAGGGTGGAAATGAGTTTAAAAAAAAATATTTTAAATGCCAATAATGAGTAAACTTTTTATTCAGCCCAACCCCACTAGAGATATGACAGATAAACCCCTCTATCTCCCATCCCTTTGACACTGAATTGCCAATATTTAATGGCATCAATACCTCCATATACAGAAATAAGCCTGCCAAGTTTCAAAACTTGTGGTTCATCCAGTCCTGCGATATAACACAAAATAGACACCGACACACATACAGAATTATGTAAGGATTTTTTAAAATATTAAAAAATGAAAAAAAATTAGAAGGTCAAAATCTGTAACAACTGAGAAAATAATCATAATCATAATGAATTCAGAAAAATAATACTTCTTTATAATAAATTAACTCATTAAATTTCTTTAAAAATAAAAATAAGGAAATTTACTCAAAACGTATTTCTCAGTTCACTTTTATATCCATTTGATATTGTCTGATTGTGT